TCTCTTGAACCCAGGAGGCGGAGGTTGGGGTGCCCGAGAACGTGCCATTGCACTCCAGCCTGGGCAACAAGAACAAAACTCCCATCTTCCCCCCCCCCAAAAAAAAAGGAAAAAGGGTTAGGATTCTGGGACTATCAGACAGAGTTTTGTTTTGCTCTGTCGCTCAGGCTGGAGTACAGTGGCACTGTCTCAGCTCACTGCAACCTCTGCCTCCTGGGTTCAAGCAGTTCTGCCTAAGCTGTCCAAGTAGCTGGGATTACAGGCGCTCGCCACCATACTCAGCTAATTTTTTTGTATTTTTAGTAGAGATGGGGTTTCACCATGTTGGCCATACTGTTTTTGAACTCCTCACCTCAATGATCCATCCACCTTGGCCTCCTAAAGTACTAGGATTATAGGTGACGGCCACCGTATCCGGCCTCTGGGACTCTTCTTTTCCTTGTTCCTTAGCAGACTGTTTCCTGTTTCAGGGTTTTTGTTTTGTTTTGTTTGGCCTTCTAATTGTGTTACAAGTGGTTTAGGTCAGTGGTTCTCCAAGTGTGGTCCCAGATCAGCAGCATTAGCATCACCTGGGTACTTACTAGAAATGCAAATTCTTGGGCCCCACTCCAGACCTACCTAATGAGCAACTCTGAGGGTAGAACCTAAACAATTATGTTTTAACAAGTCATCTGGGAGATTCTGATGGTAAAGTTTGATGTCACCAAATGGTAATGACACCTTTTTTTGAGACAGTCTTTCTCTGTTGCCCATTTTGGAGTGCAGTGGCACGATCGTGGCTCACTACAACTTCCACCTCCCGACTTAAAGCAGTTCTCCTGTCTCAGCATTCAGAGTAGCCGGGACTACAGACACATGCCACCATGCCCGACTAAAATTTTTGTATTTTTAGTATAGACAGGGTTTCACCATGTTGGTCAGACTGGTCTTGAACTCCTGACCTCAGGTGATCCACCTGCCTCTGCCTCCCAAAGTGCTGGAATTACTGGCATGAGGCATCCAGCCCAGCCTGATAATGACACTGTCTTTAATAGAGAGGGCTAGAGGCAGTGATTATGTGCCAGAGAAAACTAGCAGCCTAAATTTAAGAGCATGATATAAACCAGAGCTTTTCAGTGGGAATAGATGTAGTTTATAAAAGGCATTAAGACATAAAGCAGATTATTCAAACTTCATTGTACAGTTTCTTAGCTTAAGTAAACCATATAATTGACTTTTACTTTATATATTTCCTCTGTTACTTTGAAGTTTGTGTTCAAACTGAAAGACGAGAACCTTAAATTAGTAAAGCTTTATAATATTTCACTTTAGATTTTTGTAAAATCAAATGCTCTTAACTTTCCATAGCAAGTAACTGAAAAGCTACTGAAAAGTGTCCAACCCAAGAATTTTGTGTATTTTTCATTTTGAATATACTTCTCTGTGGTTTGAATTTTGAATCCTAACCCTTTTTAAGAGTACAGGGTCGTTTAAAATGGCTTTAATAAGGCCAGGTGCGCTGGTTCACGCCGGTAATCCCAGCACTTTGGGAGGGCGATGTGGGCAGATCATGAAGTCAGGAGTTTGAGACTAGCCTGACCAACATGGTGAAACCCCGTCTCTACTAAAAATACAAAAATTAGCCGGGTGTGGAGTCTTGCTCAGTCACCCAGGCTGGAGTGCAGTGGCAAAGTCTCAGCTCACTTCAACCTTCACCTCCCAGGTTCAAGCGATTCTCCTGCCTCAGCCTCCCAAGTAGGTGGGACTACAGGTGCTTGCCACCATACCTGGCTAATTTTTATTTGTTAAGTGGAGATGGGTTTCACCATGTTGGCCAAGCTGATCTCAGACTCCTGACCTCAAGTGGTCCACCCACCCGCCTTAGCCTCCGAAAGTGCTGGTATGTGCCGCTGTGCCTGGCCTATTTTCCTCTTTTTCTTTTTACCTTTTTTCCTTCCCATCTTTTCTTCTTTTCATTGTTTATGTCTCCCACCATTGCTCTTCCTTTTCAATTAAAGAATTCAAAGAGCAGTATACTACCATATCTGGAGATTTTTTTAGCTGGAATTTAACATTTATTTTGAAAGAGTAAGAATTTATACCAATTATGTTTTTGACTCAGATTGTTTTACAGAAGGAATCAGCTTTTTTATGTAGGAATGTGTTTTGAGACTTTTTGTTTCTATCTTCCCACTTCTGTAGAGGAAAAAAAGGTAAAAGATTGACATTATCATAGTTTTTATTCTCAAAGGTCTTAGTTCAGGTCCTAATTTTCTTTCAATTATACTCATAATTTATTTAACCAGTCCCCTTTAGATGGTCATTTGGGTTGTATATTCTTGTCTGTGTTCTATCAGTCAGTTATTATATAATTTCACATGTGTACAAATATATATTTGAAGGATAACATTCTAAAATTATTTAAAGGGTATGTTCATTTACAAACTTGACAGATATTGCTCGTTGTCGTCTGTAAAGTGAAACTGGTTTATACTACCACAGCTAGCATATAAATGTCTGTTTTCTAACCTATTATTAAATTACTGAACTTTATCGTGTAATGGAAAAGGAGGAATCTGATTGTACTTTATTTTTTATATTTTTAATTTTTTAATGAGATATCTTGGTATGTTGGCCAGGATGGTCTTAAACTCCCAGCCTCAAGCAGTCCTCTCACCTCAGTCTCCCAAAGTTCTGGGATTACAGGCATTAGCTACCATGCCTGGTCCTGATACTTTTTTTTTTTTTGAAACAGGGTCTTACTCTGTCACCCATGCTAGAGTGTGGTGATGTGATCATGGCTTACTATAGCCTTGGCCTCCTGGGGTCAGGTGATTCTCCTGCCTCAGCCTCCCAAGTAGCTGGGACCACAGACACCTGCCACCATGCCTGGCTGATTTTTAAAATTATTTGTAGGGACGTGGTCTCGCTATGTTGCACAGGCTAGCCTCAAATTCCTGAGCTCAAGTTATCCTCCCACCTCGGTCTCCCAAGGTGCTGCAATTACAGGGCTGAACCACTGTGCCCAGCCTCTGATAATACTTTTAATTGTGATTTCTCTTATGCTTGAAGTTGAACATATACAGTAAAGACTTTAGAGTACTATAGGCTGAAGTTTCAGAATCATCCACGACCAATGATGGTAGCAGAAATATGAAACTAGCCAAAGAGTATAGAAAGGACAAAATTGATTATTGACACTGTTGTTATTTTCAGTATTTGATTGCATTGATTAGCTTATTACTTTTATTAAACTCACTTTAAAGAGCATATAAAATTCTGTGCCAAAGCATGTTTGGCCTGACAAGTTGGGCCGTCATTTCCTTTTGACAAGACTTTCATTTTTATCAGCCTTAAATGTGTCATTACTGTTCTGGTTAGGTAACATAATTATCCTACTGCAGAATATATAATTTCAAAAGAGTATTGTGCATATTTGATGCCTTTACCTCTGGAAACAATTGAATTGTTTTCAGACCACTTTTATTTCAGTAAGATAAATGCAATCCTTCTCTTAATTGAAATGTAAAATTTAAAGCACATTGAAATGAAAACAAAAACCTAACACTACCTATATCTTGACAGTTATAAGAGACTAGGTAAGTTGGATTTTATGTTTCTTGTGGTACTGAATAAAAACAAATCTTTGAAAATTAAGTTTAATGGCTCACTTGCTAAACCTAAGTTGGACAGTCCTCACAATTCCTTAGGAATGTGGCAAGGTCATCCTTGAAAGTAAAGTTACTGTTTACTTCATGGAAAGCACTGCAGATATATAAATAACATTGTTACCTACCTGTCTTAATTGGCCAATATAATAGACAGGGGGTGGTGGTACATGTGAGAAAGTGAAATTTTTAGCTAGTTTTGAGGTCCTTATGACTTTTAAGAGGTATTATGAGTCACTTTAACAAGTAGTGTTTGTGACATAGTTTCAGTTTCTCATGTGAAAGATAGTATTTCAATTGTAAATGTCCTTTTGATATTATGGAGAGCTATTCTTTCCTAGCCCCTCTGTTTTACTGATTTTAAAAGCTGTTTACAGTTTGTTTCATGTTCAAATTTAGGGTTTTAGTAATTCCTTGGGGTTGGGGGCAGGAATGTGCAGAAGGCCATTGTCTCTGATTTTCCTTTTCCCAACTTTCTTTTTTTCTGTGGATTATATTTCAAGGCTGGTGAGAAAAAGGATGGAGATTGAGAAAAGGGAGCAGTTTACTGTGTGTAGGGGAGGTCCATAATAAAGTCACTTGAAGTATCTGATACAAAGTTTAAATATATGATGAAGCTTGTGCAAGGGGATTCTAAGAACTGGCTTTACTTCCCCCCTTCCCGCTTTATAAAAAAGAAATCCTGTTGATGGCAAAAAGACAAAACCCTTTATCAAAGTATTCTGTACATCTTGCATTTATTTGCATTAATATTAGTTGTTTTATTTTATTTTACTTTATTTTTTGAGATGGAGTCTCACTCTGTCACCCAGAATAGAGTGCAGTGACGTGATCTTGGCTCATTGCAACCTCCGCTTCTTGGGTTCAAGTGATCCCTCTGCCTCAGCTTCCCGAGTAGCTGGGATTATAGGTGCCACCATGCCCTGCTCATTTTTGTATTTTTAGGAGAGATGGGGTTTTATTGTTTTGGCCAGGCTGGTCTCAAACTCTTGACCTCAAGTGATCTGCCTGCCTCAGCCTCCCAAAGTGTTGGGATTACAGGTGTGAGCCACCGTGCCCAGCAGTATTAGTTGTTTTAGATTGTAGACTCTAGATGGTATGGACTATGTGTTATAAAATACCTAGTCTGAAGTAAAATGCATATAGATGTTGTCCCCTTGCTTTCTAACTTAAATCCCTTTTCCCCCTTGCAGTCATGCATTTTCATATTCTTACATACTTTGTGACAAATATGTAAAGGAAATGTATTTGCATCTAATTGTTGTGAATTCCACAAGTTCTTTACTGAGTTTTAAAAAAAAAAAATTTTTTTTTGGGTCTAAACCGAATTTTGTCTTTCTCTCCCCTACTTAGGCCCAGATCGCCTTTCTACAGGGAGAAAGGAAGGGCCAAGAAAATTTGAAGAAGGATCTTGTGAGGAGGATCAAAATGTTGGAGTATGCTCTTAAACAGGAAAGGTAATTCAGTAAAATAAAAAATACTGTTTTTTTTTTTGAGACCGAGTTTCGATCTTGTTGCCCAGGCTGGAGTGCAATGGCGCGATCTCGGCTCACCGCAACCTCCACCTCCCGATTCAAGCGATTGTCCTGCCTCACCCTCCTGAGTAGCTGGGATTACAGGCATGCACCACCATGCATGGCTAATTTTGTATTTTATGTAATTTTGTATTTTCTCCATGTCTGGTCTGAACTCTCCACCTTAGGTGATCTGCCCACCTTGGCTTCCCAAAGTGCTAGGATTACAGGCATAAGCCACTGTGACCAGCCAAAATGGTGTTCTCTGAAATGTAGGAATACTTTTTTCATCATTCCTAAAATAAATTTAAATGTTAATACTGCTTGAATTCAGGAGTATCTGTAGTAAACATTTGTATGAATGGCTATAATATGTTAATTTCATTGTGAATAATAATGATCAAAAAACAGATTTATATGATTTTTAAAAAAAATTAGCAACATTTGTTTTCCTACTCTGCCTTTTTTGAAGAAACAGATGTGCTCCCTGAACTGTCAATACCCATTCATTTTAAAGTTGAAGGTTTTTTATTTGTAAAGGAAATTTTTATAAAGTTTGCTCCTTTTCCTGTCATTTAATATTATTCAATTTGGTGTATTTTCTTTAGAAAAAAATTGCTCCAGCAGACTATGTTGAGATTCTGTGTAGACTTTTTGTGTGTATATTTTGTTCCTTTGCTGTCAGTCATCACTATCTCTCCAGAAGCTTATCTTACCTTTCTATTTTGCTAGTGTCATGAGTGAGAGTTTTGGAAGTTACATGAGTTGTTTATTTGCTTTAATGAATGGGCCTTGGATTTTTTTTTTCATCAACAGTCTGAGACAGTTTTTTTTTAGGTAACTGAGTACTTATAGGTGATATTAGAATTATCTATTTTGCTACTTCTTTGCTTTTTTTTTTAATGGTGCTTGTTTTTCTCTTTTTGAAGTTGGTGAAAGGGATATTTGCAATAAAATAGCATTTAGATGCAATCAGATAAATAGATGATAGTTATGAATAATAAGAAAGAAATAAAATTTTGTTAGAACTTGTGTTCATCTTCATGTAGAATCTTTCATTGGTGTAACAGATTGAAAGTAGGTTGACCTCTTAGTGAAAAGGTGTTTATTTTCATACTTTGGGAAAGTTGATGGAAAGCTGTATTAGGGACATGGAAAGCGAAACCATTTTTAAAAGTACATAATTTGGGAGTTTTTAAGGTTTTTTTTTTTTTTAAAAGACAGAGTCCCACTCTGTTGTCCAGGCTGGAGTGCAGTGGCGTGATCTTGGCTCACTGCAATCTCTACCTCCTGGGTTCAAGCAATTCTCCTGTCTCAGCCTCCTGAGTTGCTGGGGCTGCAGGTACATGCCACCATGCCCAGCTACTTTTTTTGTATGTTTGGTAGAGATGGGACTTCATAGTATTGGTCAGGATGGTCTTGAACACCTGACCTCAGGTAATCCAACACCTCAGCCTCCCAAAGTGCTGGGATTACAGGCGTGAGTTGCTGTGCACTGCTGAGTATTTGAGATTTTAAGCTGTCTAAATTACAGGCTTAACCAAAGAGATAGGATAATAACATTAATTATGACAACTATTTATTGGATGGCTATGTGTATCAGCCCCTGAGACTTAAAAACGAAGTAATTTGAGTAGAGTAGCAGAGCTGTAGTAGAGCTGTGATGCAGATCCATTAAATCTGTATGGTTTTGAAGCCTGTACTCTTTACATTATACTATCTTATAAGGCAGGAGAATTGAAAATACATAAATCTAAAGTAACCAGGGATGGGGTGTGTCTGTATCCAGACTTGTAAACCACAAAAGTACAGGGAAGTATAAGTGCTACTACAGTAGAAGTGCACAAGATATATTGAGGTCACAAAGAAGATAGTGGTTATTTTTTTTTTCCAAACAGAGTCACTTTGTTGCCCCACCTGGAGTGCAGTGATGTTGTCTTGGCTCACTCCCCTCCTGGGCTCAAGTGATTCTCCTGCCTCAGTCTTCTGAGTAGCTGGGATTATAGGTACCCACCACCACGCCTGGCTAATTTTTGTGTTTTTAATAGATATGAGGTTTCACCAGATTGGCCACGCTGGTCTTGAACTCCTGACCTCAAGTGATCTGCCTGCCTCGGCCTCCCCAAGAGCCGGGGTTACAGGCGTGAGCCACCATGTGTGGCTGGGAGTGGTTATTTTCATCTGGAAGATGGAAGTAGAAAGGAGGGCAGAGTTAGAGGAGGTAAGGCTTGAATAGCATCGAATAAGAAATTGCTTGCCAGACAGGCAAGGTGTAGGAAGTAGAGAGAACACGTTTGACATGGAAGAAAGCAGTTTGGTGTGTTCAGAAATTTGTAATCATTTTGTGTGGAGAGTAGGATGTTGGTTGTGGTCCTCCTCTCACTTGATGACTGATAATGGTAGAAGGAGGCAAGAGTTAGATCACAGAGAGCCTAACCACCGAGTTCAGACTTTTATCTTACATATAACAGGGAATATGGTAGGTTTAATTTTGTTTATTTGTTTGTTTGTTTGTTTGAAACAGGGTCTTGCTTTGTTGCCCAGGCTGGAGTGCAGTGGCACAATCGTGGCTCACTGCAATGTCAGCCTCCTAGGCACAAACAGTCCTCCCACTTCAGCCTCCTGAGTGGCTGGGAATACAAATATACTCCAGTTCACACAGATAATTTTTTAATTTTTTGAAGAGACAAGGTCTTGCCCTGTTGCCAGGGCTGTCCTAGAACTCCTGTGCTCAAGTAACCCTCCTGCCATAGCCTCTCAAAGTGCTGTTATTATAGACATGAGTCCCTATGCCCAGCCAAAAAAAATTTTATCTGAAATGATCTCAGACTATCTAGAGGAGTTGCAAGAATCTTGTATACTGTTTACCTAGATTCACAAATTGAAAACATTTTGCTATATTTGCTTTATTGTGTTTACTCTCTCTCTCTGTAGGTATCATTTTCCCCCTAAATCATTAGCTAGTTAGTTTGCCCCTAACTACCTCTGTGTATATTTCCTAAAAGCAAGAACATTTCCTTATATAATTATAATAGTACATTATCAAATTAAAGAAATTTAGCATTGATATTCAGTTATCTGATATAGTCTATATTCAGATGTTCTTTTTTCTTTCTTTCTTTCTTTTTTTTTTTTGAGACAGAGTTTTACTCTTGGTGCCCAGGCTGGAGTGCAATGGCACGATCTTGGCTCACCGTAACCTCCCTCCACCTCCTGGGTTCAAGCGATTCTTCTGCCTCAGCCCCCCGAGTGGCTTGGATTACAGACATGCACCACCATGCCTGGCTAATTTTGTATTTTTAGTAGAGACAGGGTTTCTCCATGTTAGTCAGGCTGGTCTCGAATTCCTGACCCCAGGTGATTCACCCGCCTCGCCTCCCAGAGTGCTGGGATTATAGGCATGAGCCACTGCAAGGTCTATTCAGATGTTCTGATAATGATTTTCATAGTATTTTTTTTCCTGGTCCAGGATCCAGTCTGGAAATATATACTGCATTTAGCTTTTATGCACTTGGCAGTTTTAAGCAAGATATAGTATATGAAATATACTTTAGAAAGATCACCTCACCTCAATGTGGGGGGTGGACTGGAAAGATCTGTAAACATAGGCAGAAAGGTTGTAATAGTCTAAGATGAGAAATGATAACATAGTAGCTGCTGAAATAGAGACACATCAACTATAAAAGATTTTCAGTAGAATTCATAAAATCTGAAGATGATATTAAAATTTGGAGATGGTACAGCAGGTGAGTGAGAAAGGTAATTTGAGAATGACTCCCAGGTTTCTGGCTTGAAGGAAGGACTATATGAATTATGAGAGAGTTTTAGAAGATACTGAATGATATAAAGAGTTAAGAGGCATCTTTGGGAGGAAAAAAAAGATATCAAATAAATTAAAATAAGAATTAAAGAGCAGATATTTGAGGGGGACTCATGATTAAAGATACATACTTGGGAATCAGTATTATTGTGAATGAAGTGAAAGGAGTAGTTGATAGAACAAGTATTGTGGAAACAGAGAACAAGGAGTGACAGGAAGTAGAAATACTTGAGGTAAAAGCAGAGGAAGAAGAGCCAGCAAAGAAATAGAGAAGGAAGGAGAAGAGAGTAGTATTTTGGAACTGAGTTAAAGGAGGGCGTCAATAATTGAAGATGCTAAGTAGACTCCAAGTAAGTTGTATATTGAAAATAGTCATTTGGAGCTGCCAGTTGGAAGCTTATTGGTATCCTTACTAAAGCAGCCTCAGTAAGGCAGCAGGAACATGAGCTAGATCAGAGGATAGAGGGCTGAGAAGGATGAAGTGGGGACAAATAGAGTTGCTTATTTCTTTAAGAAATTTGACTCTGAAGGACAGTAGAGATAAGAAACTGGCTGAATCTAGTGAAGATATTTTTCTTCTTTTCCTTAACTAAATGGGATGCTCCTGGAAAAGAGTTTCTGGTTTTATATCTTTTGAAGTTGATGGAATGATTTGGGATTATTCTTGATGTTATGGCACTATTTGTGTAATGAACTAAGAAATTTTAAAAAAGGATTTCTTTGGCTTGAAATTTTAAAAAGTTTATTGAGGAAAATTTGAAATATACTCAGAGAGAAATTAGTATCTTTTAAATACAGCCCCAAGTTTTAACAGTTAATGTTTTTGTCAGTCTTTTTCACCTTGAGCTATTTTAATGCAACTCCAGATATTTTGTCATTTTACCTGTAATTGCCTAAGTAAAGATTATGATTTTACATGATTTTCTTTGCATGATTTTTGCAGATTTTCTAAGTAGTCCCACTTTAGGATCCAAAATTAAAACTGAATTGTTAATGTTACGGAAGAATTACTTACCTAGTAGTGGATTTATCAAAGCATTCCTTAATGTGTGATAAAATTTAATATAAATTTTCAAGATTACATAGTATATAATCTGAGGTTGACTTAGGAACATCTATGCTGAGGAACCTCAAATACTGTATAAAATATAAGTCTGAAAAAATTATACCATTTTTTAAATTTCTCTCTATTCACTGCCACTTCTATCCACCCTACTGTAGTAATTTAACTGTCCTCCTTGCTTCTAGTATTTTGTATTCTAATTCATCTTCCATATCCATAGAATTCATTTTATAAAACACAAATATGATAATCCTGTTATATTAAAAAAATCTGGCTAATTTCAAGTTCTTAGTAAAGTTCTTCACAACTAGGCCCTTTCTGTCCTGTCTCTGACTCCATTCCTTCCATACCTTTTGGGTATAATTGTACTGTTTGCTGGTTTTTGACCCACTGTGTGTGTGTGTGTGTGTGTGTGTGTGTGTGTGTGTGTGTTTTCCACTTAAGATGTTCCTTCTGACAGAAATGCTCTCTCCACCAGTCCATTTTCTGATTGGAAAACTCCCACTGCTTTTTTGAGATTTAGCTAAAATCTCACATATTACCTTCTTTTTGGTAGCTTTCTTTGACACCAATTTTGACCGAATTATATAATCCCTTATCTACATTCTCGTAATACTTGTTATAGCCCTTATAGCTCTTACACAGTATGCTGTAGTTATTTACATTCTTATCCCTTATGCATACCCTCACCTTCCACCCTTACCTGACTACAAGCTGTAGGTTGTCCCAGCAGCCAGCACAGTGCTTGTTAAATCATAGGAATTCAGTAATAGTTCATTGAAATTAATCAAATTATTAACAGACATAAGATCTGCTTGTTTATCTTACAGGCAGAATTAGACAGAAAAAGAATAGCAAACAAGAAAGATCGGTTAACACAGTGAGCTGAGTGTTAAAACAGTGGAAAACGGTATGAACGAGAAGGTATTTTCACATATTAGCTTCAAAAGGCTATTAAGCTTAAGGAGGGTTTTGTGAGAAAAATACATTGCAGCAAATGTAACAATCTGTAGGGAAATCTTGGTTTAAGGGGCCATAGCTTGTGGTAAACACAGCAGTTCCTTACATATTTTGTCTTTGTCTAATTTTTAAAATAAAATGTTCATAATGTGTCACAATTTTGAAAAATATTTTCTATTCCCTTTTCCTAAGTTCTGTTGTAGTTTTTCCTGAGACCACTAGAATGCACTATAATGCAGTATTTTGTGTTTGAAAATGGTGTTTTTAAACATATATGTAGAAGATATAAACTCCATAACATTTTATTGCCACTATTATTTTAAAAGCTTTAATATAATCTGTCTTCAGGCTAGTTACATTCAGTTGCTATTTTGACCTCTAGCAGATATTATTACTTTGTCTTATGGTAAATGAAGTGTGTTTCTGGAAAAGTAAGAGATTGATAGTTACATTTAGAACCTTGTTTACTTTCTAGTAACTGCAAGTTGAATTAATGTCTGTAAATCTTACCTTAAAATGATGAGTATTATTACAAATACGATGAACTAGATTCGAAAACATTTAGTCCAGTGACAAAATCTTTGTGGTTAAGAGACACATTGAGAATGGATATTCTAAATAATTTGGACCAAATACATTTACTAAAAATTAAATATATATACATATAGTTAACCAAATAACAACAAAATTGTCTCCCTTCTTCCTCAGTTCATTGACTTTCTTTCCCAAGGAAATCTTATTAACTGATATCTTATGTATCATTCCAAAAAGATTCATATGCATAGGCATATGAAATAGATATGTAACTTTTAAAAAATGTATGGAGACATACATAGTATTTTGTACCTTCTACTTTTTGCTTAAGAGATCAGTTCATTGGCATATGAGTATATTTTTTCTTATTGTGTACATTTTACTGTAAAACATTTCATACATATGTGAAGATACAAGGACTATTATAAAAAATACTCAGGTAACCTACCTTAAGAAATAGGACGTCAACTGCCTATAATTTTTACAGGTTTTCTTAGAATTCCTCTCTATAAAAAACATTGTTTTTTTTTTCTGTTGTGACTGCAAAATGATTATTTTTGCAAAATACTCAAAGATTTCAATATTTTACATATTTGAGCAAATAATTTTTCATTTCCTTTTTACTTTTCTTTTTTCTTTTTCTTTTTTTTTTTTTTCTGAGATATGGTCTCACTCTGTCATCCAGCCTGGAGTGCAGTGGCACGATCTTGGCTCACTCACTGCAGCCTCCACTGCTTGGGTTTAAGCAATTCTTCCACCTCGGCCTCCTGAGTAACTGGGATTACAGGTGTGCACCACCACACCTGGCTGATTTTTGAATATTTTAGTGAAGACAGCATTTCATCATGTTGGTCAGGCTGGTCTCAAATTCCTGACCTCTGGTGATCCACCTGCTTGGCCTCCCAAAGTGTTGGAATTACAGGTGTGAACCCTCGTGCCTGGCCACTACTTTTCTTAAATTATGAGAAAACCCAGGAGGCGGAAGTTGAGGTGAGCTGTGATCATGCCATTGCACTCCAGCCTGGGTAACAAGAGCGAAACTCCATCTCAAAAAAAAAAAAAGAATATGAGAAAACCTAAAGGTAACTACTCAATTTTTTATAAAGAAAAAATTGTTTTTTTCTTTATTAAATATAAATATAAGTTTTTATAAAGAAAAAAACTTGAATTTGGTTGTGTTATACTTTCCTTCCTTTATTATTTTGGTTTTTCAAATTATTGTTGTTTATATTAATATCCCAGTCTTTAACACATTGAATATTTATTATAAGTGGTCTCAGTATTTTGAGGAGACAACAAGTGAAAATATACAAATGCATTAAGCAGGTACGGCCATTTTTAGTCACCCTTTTAAATATTTCTACATTAGCTGAGTTATTTTTCTAGTCTTAGATGGTTAAATCCGAGATGGTCAAATTCTGTTAACATCCATTCTGTCAACTTTGAAAATAAGATAAGACAGTTTTATTCTCATTTACAGTTCTTTTTGAGTAAAACACAAAGGATATCTTGATTAGTTCGAAAAAATTCATTTCTACTGGAATGTCTTATTCAACATTGATGATTTGGGCTGGAGTCCCCCCCACCCTTGGATTATACAGTATAATGCATATTTGGCAAAGTATGATTATCTGACAAGGCACATAATATTGTAGATGATTTTTCTTTTTAAAAGTTCAATTTTTTTGAGAAAAGTCTTTTACACATTTATTTCACAATCCAAACTTTTTTTTTTTAAACTGTTTTCGATAATAAAATTAGCTTTGACAAATATCAGGAAAATATGAATACTACAGAAACTAGGATGTTATATAGTTCATTTTATTATTACAGAAAGAAGAGTTATGATTCCCAGAGTTATTCCTTTATTTTGTTATAAGGATACTTGATGGTATAACAACAATAGCAACAACGAAAAAGACAAGCGCTTTTGTATTACAACTTTGACACCATGGAAAGCTATGAGCCTTCGAAAGTTCTAGGAGTGTTCAGCCTGGACTACTGAACACTTATGACTACTATTATTGCATATATGAAAGATAATTTAAATATATTTTAAGATGGTTTGTGTTTTCTAATTTCTTTGTTAGAGCCAAATACCACAAGTTGAAATATGGGACAGAATTGAATCAGGGAGATATGAAGCCCCCAAGCTATGATTCTGGTAAGCTAATTTTAAAGAAAGTTTAAATGATAAGAAGAAGTTAATGTCTAGTATTTTCTAGCAACAACGTTTATAACTGTAAGTTTCTAATTATTTGCTTGTTAGTTATTTTTTCTGACCTGCTTGTCTTTTGGCACCAATCATTTAGTGTCATTTAGATCATTTTCCACCACCTTCCTTCCTTTTCCCTCTTGCCCTTTCTTTTAGTTCCCCATTTTCTGCTTAAGTTCTACTTACTGGAAGGATCAGAGTTCATGGGGTAACATGCACCAACATAACCTTGTCTTGCTGGGTCTGCCCAGCATTAAAGGGAACTTTGAGATGTGCGGTACAAAGTACATCATTTCCTTGAAATCCTGAGAAAGAGTAGGAAATATGGAGATAAGAGATTTCTTCTTAAAGCACGTAGGAATTCCTCATCCCATAAACGTAATTCTTCAGTTTCAGGTGGAAAACTGTTTTGGTCTTTCTTGCCGACGGGAGTTTCTGTAACTAGAACATGTTTTAACAGCTGAAGTATTTATTATATTTTTGAGTTATTTCTTCCTTTTCCTTCTCCTGCTTTTTCACACCACAAAACAATGCAAAATAGTACTTGTAAATAATCAGATATTAAGGAATATAGATGTAATTCATTTGTTAAGTAGATATTAGGGAAGAATGACAAAAATTAATCAAAAGTTATCAGTCATGTTTCAGATAGTTAGGTTTTTGGCGTAATTTCAGATTAAATTTCCCAATTAGGTATCTGAAGACATTAATGTTCATTTATATCATTTAATGAAATATGTACCTTGTGTTAGAGGCTTTATGTATATATATTCACTTTAATTCTTAAAATAGTTATTCGGTAAAGATAATATTTATTTGCATTTCACATATGTGAAATTTAAATTCAGTGAAGTGGAGAAACTTGCCCAACGTCACACAAATATTAAGTAATGATAGAATATGGAACTGAATCTAGGTCTTTCTAACTCCAGAATTCATGTCCTTACCATTTTATCATATTGCTTCTATATTTGACAATGTATGAAAGAACTTTCCAAAATGAGTTCTAAAAGTACTGCCAATTTTATAGTTAATTCATTGTAGTAATGTATTAATGCATTTTCTCAGTTGAATATTAAATGCTTGAGATCTAGAGCAATGCAGTTGATCACTGGTGTATTTTTTTTTCTTTGTTTTTAAATTATTCTGTCTTTTACTTGAGTGTCTGTTCTTATAATCTGAGATGTGTATACATTTCAAAATACTTTTTTAAAAAAATCTAGGCTATTTGTTAACTTTTCTAAAATGATATTAACTGACTCAAAGGAGTGATTTTAATCAGTATTGTATTAAAAGGTTTTTATTTCTTAAGTTTTGGCTATCAATTTAAGAGAATAGAAGCCTAGATGCAATATATTTTTTAAATGTTTATAAGTAAACATGACTGGCTGCAGTGGCTAATGCCTGTAATCCCACTGTGGGAGGCCAAGGTGGGAGGATTGCTTGGGCTAGGAGTTTGAGACCAGCCTAGGCAACATAGCATGATCCTGTCTCTACAAAAAAAAAAAAAATTTAAAAATTAGCTGGTCATGGTGGCACATGCCTGTAGTTCTAGCTACTGGGAAGGCTGAGGTGGAAGGATCACTTGAGCTTAGGTTACAGTACCCTATAATTTTGCCACTACATTCCAGTCTGAGTGACAGAGTGAGATTCTGTCTCTCTCTCTTTTTTTTTTTTTTGAGAGGGAATCTTACTCTGTCGCCAGGCTGGAGTGCAGTGACACGATCTCAGCTCACTGCAACCTCTGCCTACTGGGTTCAAGTGATTCTCCTGCCTCAGCCTCTCAAGTAGCTGAGACTATAGGCGCATGCCACCACGCTCAGCTCATTTTATATTTTTATTAGAGACAGAGTTTCACCACTTTGGACAGGATAGTCTCAATCTTCTGACCTTGTGATCCGCCTGCCTTGGCCTCTCAACATGCTGGGATTACAGACGTGAGCCACTGCACCTGGCTCAGATCGTGTCTCTTAAAATTTTTTTTTTTAAGTTTTAAAATAAATAGCACAGCTCAGTAGAAAGGGTTTGGGCTTTAAAAGCAGATAGATGCAAATTTGACTCTGCCCCAACATTTTAAATTGCTGTGATACTACTAAATTTCTCTATGGTTACTCCATTCCTGATCTGTAAACTAGCAAATGTTCTGGGAATACTTCCTAACTCAAATGTTTATTTTCTTAGTATATAATGCCTAGTTATTCTCAGTATACAATACTTACTTAGTACCTAGTATCATTCCATCTATCTATCTTTCTAGCCATCCATTCATCTTACAAATATTACATTATAGTATTTTTCTCATTTTAGAAAGTTTTTCAGATCCAGTACCAAATCCAGTGAATAAGACAACAATGCTCTGTCAGATTTTTATAGGGAATATAGACAATTAAAGAAGTGATTACAATAATAATATGACATGTATAATGGAGAAATAATAAGTGTTATTGAGCACAGTAACACAAATCTAGTCAAGTGGTCAAGAAAGGCTTCTTGGAGGAGGTGATGTTTAATTTTGACATCTGAAGGACAAGTAGACTGACTAAATATTTGAATGGGAGGTGGGAAAAAGGCAGAGTATTAGCAGCAAAGCTTCTGAAGTAAGACTACATACAGCACATTTGAGAAAGAGGATACCTGGATAGTAGTGGGAGGAGGGAAGGAATATTTCCAGATGTAGATAGTTAGCTGGAGGGTAAAATATGTTACAAGGGCCTTGTGAAACATGTTGAGTAGTTCATGCTTACGAATATTCTAAACATTTGAAGAAGGAAAGCATTTGAAGGATCTTTTTTTTAATTTTTTAAATTTAATTTAATTTTTTTGAGACAAAGTCTCGCTTGCTCTGTCGCCAGGCTGGAGTGCAGTGGTGCAATCTCGGCTCACTGCAACCTCCGCCTCCTGGGTTCAAGCGATTTCTTCCACCTCAGCCTCCTGAGTAGCTGGGACCACAGGTGCGTGCCACCACATCCAGCTAATTTTTGTATTTTTTTTAGTAGAGACTGGGTTTCGCCATGTTGGCCAGGATGGTCTCGCTCTCTTGACCTTGTGATCTGCATGCCTCGGCCTCCCAAAGTGCTGGGATTACCGGCGTGAGCCACCGCACCCAGCCTGGATCTTAATTAGAGTTTATCATCAGGTTTACTCTTGGATTACATGGGCTGTAGTGTGGAAGGTGGAAGGTGGATTAGAGAGGTGCGACATTGGAGATGGGGCAGCTGATTAGAGGACTGTTGGAGCAACTTGGGCAAATGAAGAAGGTTTCTTTGACAAGGGCGTTATTCAGGAAATATTTAGGAAGTAAAATCTGCTGGAAATAGTTCTTTTTATATATATATAAATTTGATTTTATGCTGATCTTCTCTCTATTATTCCAATTTTAGTATATGTGCTGCCAAAGCAAGCATAGGAACTACTTTTTGATTGGATGTAGGGGGTGAAAAAAGGATGAGTCAGAAGTGACTCCCACATTTGTAGTTTAAGCAACTAGACCAGAAGTAGGCTTGGAAAATGATGGGTTCACTTTTGGATTTATTTTTTGAATAACCAAGTGAAGATGGCTAGTAGACAGTTGAGTATATGGGTCTGGAGCTCAAGTCAGAAGTATGGATGTGTTTGATACATAAATTTGAGAGGCATTAACATGTGGTACTGGTGGCACTCAAGGCCGTTGGAGTCGAAACGATCACCCAGGAACTGTATGTGAGGTAAGATTACATAAAATGAAATCCTGAGGAATGACATTTAAAAGACTGGTAGAAGAATAGAAACATGAAAAGGAACCTGATGCAGAGTACATTAATGGTAGGAGGAAAACCAGGAGATCAAGGAAACAAAGAAAAGAGAAGGTTTCCAGAAGGAAAGACTGTTCAACACTACTGATTAATTCCCAGAGGGCTGAAGAATATCTCTAGGACTTTGTGGCACACGGGACACTGAGAACTTTAAGCAGTTTTAGGAGAGAGGTGAGGGCAGAAACAAAGTGGATATAGTCAGCTTTCAGGAAGCTTAGGTTGTGAAGGTGAAAGAGATTAGAGGGCAGTAGCTAGAAGGACACGTGTATGTGTGTGTGTGCATGCACGTGTGCATGTGTGTGATATGTGTCTTAGAGGAGTAACGTATAAAAGGGAAAGAGTAGAGATACTCAAAATAGGAAGATAATCTGAAGAAGTGATAGGGATTGGATTCCAAGCATAGCTCGAGAATGGCAGGAGGAGAATGTCTTTTATCATTACCAAGAGAGAATGTAGGAAGTTAGGTTAACAGGTTTGTAGATATGGATTTCTGTTTGGTGGTAGATATTTAAGGGAATGTCCATAAATGATAGCTTTATGTATGAGATAGGATTATCTGCTGAGAGTGGGTCAGATGTTTAAGAAAAGCAGAGAAGGTTTAAATGCTAATGGTAAACAGGAAGACTAACTTTCTAGGAAATAGTAGGATCGAGAAAAGCTAAGGGTCCAGTTGAGGTGTGTGATCATGAGTATGTAGAGGCAGTAGCTGCACATTTGGTAGCCTGGGTAAAGTCAGAGAGAATGCAGTTAACAGTTGAATTCACCGAATTCATGGAGAGACAAAGGGACATAAAAATTGGGGAAAGAATGATTGAAGTGATAACCCATGAACTAAAACTACAGAGGGAAGGAAGTGAAGACACAAGGAGGCTGGCTAATGGCTGAGTTAAAAATAAGGGGTAGATTCTGGTCTAGAGCAGGTCAGCAAACTTTTCTTAAAAGGGCCAGATAGTAAATATTTTGGAGTTTGCAGGCTGTTTGTTGCAGCTACTCAACTCTGCCACTGTAACATGGAAGCATTCATAGACAGTACATAAATGAATGGATGTGTCTGTATTATAAAAACAGGTGGTAGGCTGGATTTGACATGCAGGCAGTAGTGTGCTGGCCCCTGGCTAGAGGTCCCAGCTAAATTAAAGAACTAGTGAATTTAGGGAA